TAGGCGACCACAACTGCCGTAATGATGTGATAGTGAACGGGTCGTTAAGGAATGAGACCGTTGCTATGAAGAAGATGACCGACCGCCTCGCTACGGAGGACCCTGGCATGCCGGAGGAAGATATTTGGGAGCGTGTCTGTGCTGAGTTCTACGGACCCAATCGCGAAGAGCTAATTGAAGGTTTAACCGAGGAGCAAGTTAAAAGCCGCATCCGCCGAGTTCGCCGCCGTTATTATGGTGGAGACATCCACGGTGTAGTCGAGGTACCACCGTGCTCCAAGGTCAAGGACTCGGCGATCCCGTTCTTTCGCTTCCATCTAGTGACCGCCCACCCTGAGCCGAATGCTCCGCCCAACCGTATTTTGGGGTGGGCTCATCCTGCCTTAAAGGAACTCCTACTGTACAACAGTGTTTCTGTCTTTATCGACGGTACTTTCAGATGTGTGCCTAGAGGATTCTACCAGTGTTTGATCGTTATGGTGGACGATCCGGCTCGCAATATGTACACCCCGGTGTATTTCGTGCTGTGTACATCCAAGACTGAGATGATGTACGAGGATATCTTACATCTGATACACCGTGACACCCGCAAAAAAATGTCTCCTGCTGAAGTTGTTTGTGATTTCGAGTTCAGCTTGATTTCATCGGTTCAAACTCAGTTCCCCAATGCTGAAGTGATAGGTTGTTTCTTTCATTTTAAACAAGCAATTCGCAGGCGACTTAACCCCTTCAAACCGGACGATTTTGAGGGTGACGTGAAGCTGTATATACAGCGTATTATTATATAGACGTTTGTATGCCTCAAGGGTTGGGCGAGATGGTGAATGATTAGGTGAGGGGTGTAGCCGCTGCTCGTGCGGAATATATACGCTGTGACTGCCGTAGTCGTATCTTGCCCTGCAAGTTGTCAGGTATCTCGGTACCATTCTTGAACTTGTTATGCCATATGTCCCAGCAGCTACGTAGCTCTTCTTCCATCGTGTGCTTTGGCTTCATGCACAAATACACAGGCAACGCGGTAAAGCATGCGTCGCAGTAGTAGGTCGTTGTCCCGCCACGTTTTCCGTCTGATCGCAGCAAAGAACACACTTTGCAGTTGCGCTGTACGCGTTTCAGCTGTCCTGAGTGCTTTCGCCACTCGTCAACTTGCTTCGGTGAATGGATAACATGCTCTGAGCTCCCTCCTTCGTCATTTGCGCTTGTGGCTAGAGCGTCATTCTCAGTTGAGACTGGTGGTGGTGGGTCTGTAGTAAACATGCATATACAGGTTACATTGCCACGTATATACAGCACAAAACAAACACAAACTTACCAGCTCCAAACGTATTGCCTTCGTACATGTCTGAGTCCTTCAGGTGGATGAGCTCCAAGTGCAACTTGCGAATGTATTGGACGTGGGTCAAGGGGCGGGTTCCCTTTGCTTCATGGTACGCACGATGTACAATATATCCGTTGACTATTGCAAGATCCACCAACCCCAAAAACAGGGACTTATAGTATTTCCGAAAGGTCACCGCCCGCTGTAGTGAGTAGCGTTGCAAGCGGAGTTGATCATGCACATCAACTCCGCCCATATATTTGTGGTAGTCTTTGACTGGTTTTGGACAAGGCACTTCACGCTGCTCCCCGGTCTTCTCTCTCCTCGCCACTCTGTCTAACGCAAGATCACTTCCAGTACATAGGAAGAAAACTGGTTTGCTGTCCCACCACTTGATAGCTGCCATTTGCTTCACTTGTTTCGAACGTACGAACGTAAAAGTCCCTCGTACAATGTTTTTTGGTCGAGTCTTCCTGTTGTTCTTGTTCTCCTTTAGGCTCGTGGCGTAGCCGATGCGGTTCGTCATAATTGTCCCGACCGTGTAAAATCCCATCAAGAGCAACTGGATTGCAAGCACAACACTCGTGTAGTATCGGTCAGTGACCACGAGACGGAAGCCCTTATCTTGACCGTCAGGGAAGGCTGCTTTCAGGTTACG